AACTAGTTTGAAAAGGAAGAAGCTTTTAAAAATCAAGAATAATTTCAAAATCCAGAGGGAGGAATTGCCAATAACGTAAAAACCACTCACACTGATTTATCATTGTGTTTCTGCAACCATTGCTTGCTTCACTAGCTTGTCACTGTGGAAGTGGTGGTGGGGGGGAGTCATCTGGATCCCACGTTGCACATAAAATCTGATATGGATATTAAAATCAATCATAAAGCTCCCCCAAGTGGATATTTTTTCAAACTACACTAAGAAACCAGCCACTGTTTCTATGATTGCAATCAAGGCTGAGGACCCAAATATGCTTTTGATGGGCAGCAGTGGCCTGGCTTATCTGTCATTTTGTACATAATTTAATAAGATAAGCATCTTGGGGAAAGAATTCTATAAATGTTAAAATGGAATCTGCAAAAACACTCTCCAGGTTCCCCGGGAACTTAACTGGGCCTAGGAGCTGCCTGTGGCTATGCTAGATCTTAAGGTGGCTAAAAGGATCCAGGGATTTAGTGATTTACAGATGCTTGAGGGGAGGAAAATCCCCCTGTGGCCCCTCCAGAAAAGCTCCCTGGTCCATTTAATTGTGGTCCTTATTCCACTATCTGGGCTGATTATTCTGAATTACTTGGCACCCCTGTTAAGCCTGTCACTTAGATTCTAGAACAAATTAAGTTTGTTGAAAGCTTTGCTCTTTCTCTCTATTAAAATATTCATATCTACTCTAACAACCTGATAAAAACTGGCTAAAAGCCTTGCTGCTATCCCCAACAGGGAGTGCCATTTTTAATGAACCCGCAAGCATCATAAATAAAAAATAACTGGTCTTAATAAAGAATTGATAGATCAGCTCTGGCCCCAGATAGATGTCAAGGGGAAGCTACACACAGCCTTGGGAGAATCTGTTCAGCAAATGAGTCTTCCTGAGCCGAAAGGCCCCAGCCAACCAGCAAACTCCAAACAAAGGCAGAATCGATGAACTTCCTCAATACGTTTCCATAAAACCATTGAACCTGCTGAGCCTCAGTGGGGATGGAAGGTAAAGGGTAGCAAGGAGGGCCTTGCAGAGGTATAGAGAAAGTGATGGAAGGAGTAAAGGACGTGGGAGGATTAAAGTAGAAGCTAATATTCCTCAAGCATTTACCCTCCTAACAACCCTACCTGGCAGATGGAGTTTATATAAGCAGCCAGAGGTCACACACCAGTTAGTTGAGGGGTCTGAATTCCAACCCAGACCCTAAACCAGAGTCCCTAACCACTAACTTAGAAACACTACTTAAACCTCTTCACTCTTTCACTCCAGCCATTTTTTGGACAACAGGTGGGGCATAGGGTCAGAGATGTAGCATCCACTTGCCTCTGGGGCCAAGGAGGGTGGAGGGAGGAAGTTATAGGGACAGCATTCCCCAGCCAGAACCCCTTCTAAGGCTCTCAACACCCTGGCTGCAATGTCGCCTCCTTCCCACCAGGCCAGGAGAGACTGCTCCTCTCACTCCCCAACCCCCAGGGCCTTCCAGGGAGCACCAGACATAGAATCCCAAGCTCCAGAAAATAAATTCAATATACTCTCACAAAAGCCTTTAGAATCAAGGCAGAACTGCAGCCCTTGGCTTTGTCATCTGGGTGCTAAGAGACACCAGACAAGTTCTCTCGCCTCTCTGAACATTCCAATGCGTCCGTTAAATAGGGATGGCGACCTTAACTATTTTTATTCATCCTTGGTCCAAAAAGGATATGAGGCAGCTAATAACCTACTTCACGGACAGTAGTCTGAGTGAAATATAATTCTCTTAGTTACTTGTGATGAGAACACTTGCTGTGAGAGAACCTCCGTAAGAGAGCCCAGCACCTCACGCTGGCAGGATTGGGGTCTCCATCTGCACCCTGGACCAGTCAGGGGGCACGCTTCCTCCTCCTGGCCTTCCGGAGGCTTCACGGCCCCACTCCCACCCGGTTCCCACTACAGCACTGCGTCTTCTCTCTCCCACAGCTCTCAAATCCTTTCATGACCTTGTGGCGGGGATGGGAGTGGGAGGGGGGGAAGGAGGGAGGGTGGTGAAAGCAAGAAAAGGGAGTTGAAACATCCTAGCTTCCCTCTCACTCCTCCAGCATTCACGGGAAAAGTGCTTCATTAGCAAACAGGCTATTGTTACAGTGATGCCCCTGCCAGAGGTGTTTAGCTCCCCTAACTCTACCCTCTTTCCCAAGTGGTAGGGACAAGAGGACAGAGAGAGGCCCCAAAGCTAAGAGAAGACAGAAGGGGCCTCGGAGGGTGGGCAGACACATGTCCTCAAGCTCAGGCAGTCCAGAGAAGCAAACCTTTCTTCTTCAATCTTATTGTTTTCCTGTTTGGTTTAATTACCCGTTTTAGAAAAGTGCCATTTTCTAGAACACTAGCTTTCTATACTCCCTGCATCCAAACCCTGAGTAAGTTGTCTGATCTCCCTGTGGCTCTGTTTTCTCACCTGTAAAACAGGGATATTGCTAAATTGTACTTGTAGGGTAGCTGTAAGTATTAAATGAAACAACTCATATAAAAGGTTTGGCATATAGCAAATGCTCCATAATATTTAATTTCTATTAGAGAAAAAAATAGACTTATGCTAGCCTCGGCACCTGGCTACCAGTTAGAATGCCACTATTGCCATGGAAGCACATATTTTAAGATGCAAATATATGGTTTACAATTAATTGTGGGGACAATTTGGGTTGTTACGGAAATAAATTACCATTCAACTCCTAATCAGCTAGTTATGCTTTAAAAATATCCTTTAAAAAGCCTATGCAAAAATGTCAGGTCAATTATCAGAGATAGTGTTGCAATGTGCATTATCCTTTTCTTCATCTTGATACAGAAAATGTTGGGCACTGGGAGGCGGCTGCTTGCCGCCACCCTGTGGCTCTGCATCTCCCAGGGCCAGCGCTGCGAGTGGCCAGTTGGAGGGCACGCTGCTGGGGTGGGTCCCTTCCTGCCGGAATGCAGCTGGGCTGCCGCCTGTTTCTGGCAATGCTGCTTGCGTGATCCTGATTGGGTAATTTTTGAATCCCACTGTTTTTGATTGGATGTTAAAGCTTGCTGTTGATTGGATGTTAAAGCTTGGAGTTGATTGGACACTTTTTGAGCCCTACCAAGGGTATAAAAACAGGAGGAGAACAAGGAAGGGGGGGGGTCAGAAGATCAGAAGACAGGAAGAGAGCTGTAATACTAGGTGTGCTGAGCCTGCTGTGGAAGAATAAATGCTGTTTTCCTACTGTTTGTGTGGTCCTCAGTTCTTTCTCCGGTCAAGAACTATACACGTTGCCGCAACAATCTAAAGAATCAAATGTGAGCAATGTTAAAAAATAAAAATGTAGACCAGGCATGGTGGCTCACACATGTAATCTCAGCATTTTGGGAGGCCGAGGTGGTAGGATCACTTGAGGCCAGGAGTTTGAGACAAGCCTGGGCAAGATAATGAGACCTCGTCTCTACAAAAAGTTTTAAAATTAGCTGGATGTGGTGGCACAGGCCTATGGTCCTAGCTACTTGAGAGGCTGAAGCAGGAGGACTGCTTGAGTGCAGGAATTCAAGGATATAGCAAGCTATGATGATACCACTGTAGTCCAGCCTGGGTGACAGAATGAAACCCTATCTCTTTAAAAAAAAAAAAGTAAAAACCAAATAAATAAATAAAAATAATAATGTAAGCCTCTCACATCACCATGTCAAAAGTTTCTGAGTTTCAGGGTGTGAGGGAATGTAGGCACCTCCAACCCTCACCCTAAGGCCGTACTCAATGTCCATGTGCCATCAGGGATTTTCATTTGGTGACAACAAACAGCCACATGGCTAAAAGACACAGCTTTCAAAGGGCTCCTGCAGTCAGAAAGAAAAGCACTTCTTCCATTTACTGTCCAGGTCAGACTCTGTGCAGTTACGAACAGTCGAGAGGCCCAACCCTGGACTTATCTCAGATGGGAAGGAGGAAAGGTCAGGGTTCCTCTTGCTCAAAAATAGCTTCTCCATAATTCCACCAATTGGTTTCACTGGGTCTAAAAGTTCTCCTTTTACAAGTGAATATTACATAGGAAAGGAATCTAAACGAATTCATCCATGTGTAACTGGTTTTCCCTAGGGGATGAGATTGTGCGTGATTTTGGTTTTATACTTTTTTGTTTGTCTATATTTTCTAGTTTCTCTACAATGAACAATAAAAAAGTTCATTTTAATTTTAAAATTAAAACTGGTAGGAAAATCCTGGTAGGATTAAATAAATTAAATTTATATTTGGTGGTAATCACTTAAAAATGGAAAGAAAGTAAACCCTAATGAAATATCTGTCCATACTCATTAGGATGGCTATCTTTTTAGGAAAAAAATGTAAATAAATCTCAAAAAGGATAACGACATGGAGAAATTGGAACCTTCCTACACTGCTGGTGGGAATGCAAAACAGTGCAGCCACTTTGGAAAACAGTCTGAGAGTTCCTTAAATAATTAGGCATAAAGCTGCCATCATGACCCACAACAATTCTACTCCTAAGTATATACCCAAGAGAAATGAAAACACAGAGCCATAGGAAAATTCTCACACAAATATTCACAGCAGCATTATTCATAATAGCCAAAAAGTAGAAACAACTCAAATGTCTTATAATGGATAAATAAAGTGTGAGATACCCAGACAATGGAATATTATTTGACCATAAAAAGAAATGAAGTACTGGCCAGGTGCAGTGGCTCACGCCTGTAATCCTAGCACTCTGGGAGGCCGAGGCAGGTGGATTGTTCAAGGTCAGGAGTTCAAGACCAGCCTGAGCAAGAGCAAGACTCTGTCTCTACTATAAATGAGAAGAGATTAATGGCCAACTAAAAAAAAAAATATATATATATATATATATACACACATATTAGCCAGGCATGGTGGTGCATACCTGTAGTCCCAGCTACTTGGGAGGCTGAGGCAGGAGGATTGCTTGAGTCCAGGAGTCTGAGGTTGCTATGAGCTTAGCTGATGTCATGGCACTTTAGCCCAGGCAACAGAAGTGAGACTCTGTCTAAAAAAAAAAAAAAGAAAAGAAATGAAGTACTGACCCATGCTACAGCCTGGGCAAACCTTGGCAACATTACACTAAGTGAAAGAAGCATCACGAATGACCACAAATTGTATGATTCCATTTATATGAAATGTCGAGAGGCCCAACCCTGGACTTATCTCATATGGGAAGGAGGAAAGGTCAGGGTTCCTCTTGCTCAAAAATAGCTTCTCCATAATTCCACCAATTGGTTTCACTGGGTCTAAAAGTTCTCCTTTTACAAGTGAATATTACATAGGAAAGGAATCTAAAAGAATTCATCCATGTGTAACTGGTAGAACAGGCATACCTATCATATAAAGACAGAAAGCAGATCAGTGGCTGCCTCAGGTTGGGAGAATGAAGGAATGAGGGACTGGTAGCTAAAGGGTACAGGGTTTCTTTGAGGGATGATGAAAATGTCCCAAAATTGACAATGGATATGGCTGCACATATTTGTGAATATACTGAGAACCACTAAACTGTATACTTCAATGGGTAAATATTGTGGTATATGAATTATAACTCAATAAAGCTGTTACCCACCCAAAATGGAAGGAAGTGATCTGAACAGGGTGGGACTTCTGACTTGTCCAAGGAGGCCGCTGCTTTGGGTCACCATGTGGGGGAGAGCAGAGGCCCCTGGAGAAGAAGAGGATGGCAAAGTAAGACTGCAGGGTTTGACACACAGCCAGATGATCGCTGCACAGCTTGGAAAAGCCATCCCCAGGCCTTGGCACTGGCCTGAGCTTCCTCTCACACACGCCCCAGCATTGCACAGTAAGAGAATCAATAACCCAGATTATTCCCCATAGATCACCTCGGACACTAGGAATGAGAAAGGCAGAGCCAGTAATCAGAAACTGACTCCATCAAACTCACAGAACCAAGGCTGCTTTAGCAGTGATTTCCCAAACTTGGCTGTTCATCTGCCTCACCCAGGTAGTCTGACTGTCTGCCTGTTTCTTATATAGACAGCTGGGCCCACACCCAGAGATTCTGAGTCCGTCGGTCTGAAAGATGCCCAGGAATCCTGTACTTTCTAAATTTCCCCTCCATGTTTCTGACCATAAAGCAGGTGTGGGAACTTCTGGACTGTTTGACAACTCATCTTAAAATATTTTTGAAGAAATTAAGAAGAAAAGATATTTTTGAATTTAAAAAAGAAAACTTTTCACTTTCATGCCAAGAGAAGACATAGAAACTTCTTAATAGCATGTTTTTAATGATCCCTGGTATAGCTACAAAACAAATTTTTAAAGGATAAAAATATTCATGTCTCCACAACCTACCAATTCTCAGTTTTGGTTAGGTGTTCCTCTCAATTCTTTTAAATTTTTTCTAAACTGCTACTTAAACATCACAGAATTTAAAAGCTGAAGGGGTCTTGGATTTTGCTGACTTCAGCCCCCTCATCGTAGACAAGAAAAAATGTCACCCGCAAAGATGAAATATTTGGTTCCAGGATTAGAACCCAAGTAGGTGTGCTCACAATCCGCCCAGTCCTCTTTCTGCTACACCATATGACATTTTGCAAGAATAGCCTATGCTGGAGGTCTTCAGTTGCAAAAAACCAATCTCTGCAGATATGGAAGAATGGCATTTAAGCTATGACTCAAACCATGGAATTTTAGGCCCATGCTAACAAGAAGGAACCTGTATGTTACAAGACCAGAATCTATAATGTATAGGTTACTGCCTAGCCCCATAAACCATAGTGAACCAACAAAAAACAATACAAGAGGATACAACTTGCATAGGAGCCTTCTGAGAAAGATGTAAGGCCCATGCCTGATACTCCCTGTTAATTACGCAGAAGGTGGTTAGAAGATGTCACTATAGCTGCTGCTGCCCTTGCCAAGATTTAACCAAGCTCACTTTCCAAGCTGATGTTAACTTGCACACAATTTTTCCAACACAGCAAGGAGCTTCCCTCTGAGCCCAAATAAATGGAATACTGGGTTTTGGATTTTCAAGGTTTGTCACAGGCAAACAGTACTGTACTGCAAAAGAGTGACGTCTATGTGCCAGTTCTACCTCTTAATTACTCCAAAAACTTAGTCAAATCAGTTAACTGCTCTCATGTCAGTAAACTGATTCTTGTTTACACTCCTGAAAAATGGAAGGAAAAGTGCTCACATTTGCTAAAATGTATATATACATATATATATAACTTTGCTTCATTCTATACTCTATGCATTTAAGTTGTTATTGTTACTATATTTCTAGGGTTGTAGGAGGGTGGTAGATATTCCCAAAAATGTCCACTGGATAATAGCAATAGCTAATTTATTGAACACTTACCAAGAGCTTTGCCAAGTTCTTTAGATTTACTCCTCCCCAAAATCCTATAAAGAAAGTATATTATTATTTCATTTATAGAGAGGAAAAGGCAGGTACAGAGACATTTGGCCATTAGCACAGGGCCCCAAAGCTAGTAAGCAGCAGGGTTAGATTTTGAATTTGGGTAATCCAACACATCCACCCCAGAAGCAGTCCTCCTTTGTTCTTTAATTCCTGGGATAGATATCAGATGCAAAGTTTAAAAAGAATAGCGGGACTCTTTATGTTTGAGCTTTTCGGGGAGGGGTGGCAGGAACTCTTTTTTACTGCAGTTTTAAATAGCTGTGTGAATCACTGCAAGATGCTGTGTTCCCAGATTCTCTTTATCCTCTCTCGCATAATGTATCTAACTCTTTCCAGAAAGCCTGTGCCCACCTCTGGCTGCCTGGCTCAGCATTGTCTCATGTGCTTCAATGTTGCACTTTCATCAAATTGGCAATGGCTTATCCAGATCTGCTTGATGGCAAGGAAGGGCTGCTTGTGCCTAAGATAATCAGAAAGAACAAACAGCTCGTCTCTAGAAGGATACCTTATGTGGTCCCTGCAAATTAGCTACAAAGTGAAGAATTTTTGCAGGAAGAAACATGTCCATGTTTTTCAGTCTACCGAAATACCTTCTGAGACAAGTGCTTCCCCGTCCAAGGAGAGAAGCTCAAGGAGAAGAGCCAGCTTTCACTAAGTCTGGGTGGGAATCAGCATCAGAGGCTGCAATGGAAACATGCCGGGCACGGCATCGCCTCCAGAGATAGGGGGACCAAGGACTGGGCTCTAGAGGGCCTTCCAGTCATCCAATTCAGAAAGACTCCCTCAAGGGAGAGGCCCCAAAGTAGACTGAGCTGTTGGAGACCTAAAAGCCCATTCCTTGTTTGACAAGGGCAAGCATACCCCGAAGCCTCCAGCTGTCCCACAGTTCTCCTGATCGCAAAGCTTTTTGAACCCTTGCTTCCTTATAGTGCACAGTGGCTTGCTAGATCAAACTCCTCAGCAAGGCCTCTGAGGCCTTCCTGAGCCAGCCCCACTCACCAATCTCTCACCTCTCCCCCTTCCACCCCTGCAAAGAAGCAACTGTCTGTGCTGATCACTGCCCTGTCCTCACAGGCCTGGCAGAGATGGCAACACAGTGATCCGTGAACACTTGCGTCTCCCTAAATGAACCATGTTCTTTTTCATCTCTGGGTCTTGGTTTAAGCTACTCTCTCTGATTAAATTGTCTCTGCCATTTGGCTAGCTTCCTATTATCCTTTTACAAGAATCAGCTTCAGAATCCTCTTCACTTGGGAAATCTGCTCCGACCCTCTCCCTGTGCTGTGTTAGGAACACCATTCAGCAAAAAGATCCTGGGCGTGGGGGAAAAGAAATGGGACTTGGTTTTGCTTTAGCGAGCACATTCAAGTTTGCATGCCACATGAGTGTTGTACCCTTTAAAGAAATCGCTGAGACCATTTTAAGAGACCAGCTGGGTTGACGGTGTTAGTAACCCTCTTGGGAGCCTCAAAAATGTGTAAAATTTCCCAGAACATTCAACCGCTAAAGGTGGCATCACTTTTCCTGTCGCCCAGAATTCTGACTGAATCAAAAAATTAGAGCTGGAAGATAATGTGGAGATCATCCCAACCCTTCATTTTACAGAGGTGGAAACTGAGATCCAAGGAAAGTCAAGATCATCCCAGAGATCAAATAGGAAGCTGGTGGCAGAGTTCAGCTGAGACTTCGGCTCACCTGCAAACTCACTCAAGACTTGAATCCTTTCATCTCACACGCAGAAGAAAAGTACAGGAAATTCTTCCCAATACCTGCTTTGACTTGAATTCTATGTTTTGCTTAGGTTTTTGCTTTGCAAGCTAAAGAATAATACTGTGCTGAAATTTTAAAGAAAAGGTGGAATGTTGTAAGAGCTTCATATGGTCTTGTCATAAGATTTATCAAGACATGGGCCATCCCTGTTAACAAAGGCTAATCTCAAAGTTCCAAGGGAACTAGTCTCTAGTCCAGTGTTCCCTAAACATCCCTCACAGGCATATCATCGTATCAATTTTTTTCATAGCCGAATACCACCTTTACTGTTACTTACTTGTTTCTTTCCTTTGACTCACTTTTCCTTCACTCGCTTTTCAAAACCATAAATATCTAGTTTAACCTCAGCCTAAGTGAAACAAGTAAATGATAATCTAAGAAATCACAAATTTGGTATGTTATTATACTCTTTCCCTAGCACATTTAAGAGGAATATATAACTATCTTTTTACATGTCCATATGCCACTTAACGTCACGATGCGCACTATCAGCATGCATCTAACGTTACAGGGAATTATTGTGCTTTTACTCTAGAGCACAGGTGATTCCCTCCAATGCAAAACTATTTACTGATATTCTCCCTGGTTCCTATTCGGTTTTCTGCATGCGCCTATTTTATCTGAAAAGCCGATCAGTAGTAGCACTTGAAGATCCCAAACTAAAGCTTATCTTTACACTAATAGCTTTTCTTATCAACCCCTAGATCACTAGGCCTTCCACACATAGGATCTGTCACTTTGTTTGAAATAATCCTTTACCCTAACGTTCTTCACTGACTATTAATAAATTACGAAAAAAACAGCAAAAATAATTACCCTTTCACCTAGGAAAACACTGGTGACTACGTCTTAATGGTCTGCCAGTGACAGCCAGCTTTACCCAGCATAATGGATGCAAATGTGTAACAGGATACAGGTAGGGTATTTTCACACAAGCTGTCACTTGTCACACAAATTACATGGACTTCTATTAGCTGCTTAATTCACAGATTTAGAAAAACAAATTCCACTCACAATACCTGCACCCTTCCAGATCTCCTGGGGGGGAGGAAGAACCAACCTACGAGACCAATCCAAAAAATAAAGGCCCAGGCACAGCACATTTTCTGTGGGTGTGAAAATTCTCCTTTGAGGGGTGAAAATAATGTTGGTCAAAGTCTTTCAAGGACTCAAAAGTCTTCAGAGGAAGAGGAGGAGAAGGAGACCCGAGATTATGAGAGAAGCCCAAATCTGGATGCCATATCGGGGCAGGAACTCAGCGAGTCGGCTGAGTGGTTCCTGGGGCTGCCGGGCGTGGGCACGGTGAGGCTGGCGGGGTCCCGCCAGCGCCACACAGAGGCGATGCTAAGGTCGGCTGCTTGACATCATCCGTCTGGACAGAGCGGAGCCTTCCACACACATTCCTGAGGAGCAGTGACTGGGGACCGAAGGCTAAGGGTCCTGGGCTGCCAGGGGCCCCTGGGGCCTGAGGCTGCAGCTGTTTGGCCAACTTCAGCCCAGGGTTCTGCTGCCATTTGTGGAAACCAGCAGATGTTTTGGCAAACTGACCTGGTTTTACTCACAGTTCTTACATCCTGGAGTTGGCATATTTTAAATTCCTCCTTCTTATCATAATAATAATAGCAGTTGACATCGATCTAGTACTCCGCGTGTACCAGGCACTGTTCTAGGCAGTTTCCATGTATTAACACATGTAAACATGGAATCATAGAAAATTTGATCTGGAAGGAATCTTAGCTATTGAAGTGGAAAGAGCCCTGGACCTATGTCAGGAGGAATGAGCACTTTGCCACCTATTAACTGTGAGACCTTGAGCGAGTCCTGCCTCTCTCTCTCGGCTTCAGTTTTCTTATCTGTTAAGGTAAGATGAGAGACGATGAATAGGTTTCTATATGAATGCCAACTGTGAGCCACCGGAGCTGTCTCGGGCACTGTGCTGAGTAGGATTCTGATCCACTGTGGGAAAAGTGCCACAATCGATTAGTGATGTCTGCCACCATGCACCCGGAACAGGGTGGGCACGTCACCTATTTGCCATCTTTTGACGAAGCGATCCCTAAGGTCCCTTCCCGCTCAAGTTATTTGAATTCCTGGTTCTAGCCCAACTGTCTTGCTAAATGTAGTGTCTTTATAAAAAGAAAGAGAGAGAATAATAATTAGCTCTGGAAGTTCAGAGACCTTGTTGCCGTCATTGAGTATGTGGCCTTTAGCAAGTATTCTCCTTAAGGAAGCCTCAATTTATTTACCTACAAAATAAGGACAACAATATTTAACCTCCATAATCATCTTAAGAATTAAATAAGTATGTAAAATATAGAGTATAATGGAGGATCTGGCATACGGTTGGTTTTCAGGTCAGTAGAAGCTACTGTTGGCATCACCATCATCATCACTAGTCTGTCAATTTCAAGCTGGACTAACATTTTCTGATCCATGATTTGTAGCTTATAGAACATATGTTTATAATGAAAACTGATTAAATAATTTTTTCTTGAGGAATAAACTTGAGCTCCTTCTCAAGGAAATATCATTTACATTTTTATTACAGAAAATTCCCCAAACATACAAAAATAGAAATATTATAATGAACTCCCATGCACCCATCGCCAAGCTTCAAGAATTATCAATTCATGGCTAGTCTTATTTCATCTATATCCCCACCCACTGATCTCGCTTCCAACCAACCTAAATTTTTTTATAGGCTATGATTCCAAGATATCATATAACTTCATCTGTAAATACATCAGTATTTATCTATATGACAGAAACTCTCAGAGTTTTTTTTTGTAATTTTTAAAGCATTTGGTTTAATTGAAAGAAACAGAAATAGCAAAGCATGATTAGAAAATTCTTTCCTCACATCCCTAATAATATTCCAGAAAAGTCACTAACAAGTGTATGTATTAAAAAAATAATAATAATAAGGGACTGGCTCAGGAGGCCACGTGGGGACCACGGTATGCATGATTTATTATAGCTACACAAAGTGAGTTATTTCATTCTTTTGAGATATTTATGACACTGCTAAAACACTGAATACATCAACATCAGAATTAATCATGAATAATATTTAATTAGTGCTTGACAAGGATCAATTTGGCAACTCTTTTTGTTCTTTCTCCTTCCCCCAATAGAAAAATAGTCATAAACTAAAGTGTTTTATTTTTTCCATCTGCTTCTGGTAAAGCGCATCCCTGAATTGCTAACTTAGTCGAGATCTCCTGAACTTTCATATACCCAGGTAATTAGACTCAGATGCTGTCCGGACTGCGATTATAAATCAAGTCTGTGTATGTAAGCAGAAAACAGACTGCTCACACCAAGAGCGGGTGTCGCTATTTCTCACGGACCTGCCGGTGGAGCAAACAGGCCCTCAAGCCTGAGCAGAGCAGAAAGAAGTTTTCACGTTGCTCCCAGGACATGGAACCCCTTCTCACTTCTCCATCCCCCAGAAAGCACTGATCATAAGCTTAATTCTTTATTTACAAAAGAAAAAAAGTCCTTTGGGGCACTTAAGCAAAAATTCTGCCCAGAGGTATGCTAGGTACGAACCAGGAGGCTAAAACACAGGGTTACAAGCCAGGAGATCAAGACACAGAAGGCACACTGTGATGGCATCTCTCCAAGCAGACTGTTAACATCCGAAGCACTTGGCGTCCCAAGGAACTGATGTGGCACTGTGTACCACTTCTCAATCAGGATGTCTTGTTCTACAGGGGAATGATTAGGAGAACTTTTAGTTTATTGTTTTGTTAACAATGTATGCAATCATTTTATTTTAACAGATCAGCAATATTTGTTTTGGTTAACTTAATATTTTAAGTTGTCGGCCAGGTGAGGTGGCTCACACCTGTAATTACAGCACTCTGGGAGGCCAAGATGGGAGGATTGCTTGAGCCCAGGAGTTTGACACCAGCCTGGGCAACATAGCAAGGCTATGTCTCTACAAAAAATTTAAAAATTAACTGGGCATGATGGCATGCCTGTAATCCTAGTTACTGGGGAGGCTGAGGTGGGAGGAGGTAGGTTGAGTCCAGGAGATTGAAGTTACAGGGAGCTACTGCACTCCAGCCTGGGTGACAGAGTGAGACCCTGTCTCTAAATAAATAAATAAATTATGGAGCCAAAGGCTTTTTTGAAGATGTCTTAAAGGAAGTGTTAAACGGTTGTTTTTAACTTAAAGGGAAGGTATCAATCTAAGAGATCTCCTTTTCTTTATGTCTGACTCATGTCAAGTAAAAGTAGGATTGAAATATCTATTGGAGCCAATAACTGTCCTGGGGAACAGGGAACGAGGTAACACATTTGTTAAGGTGTTCTATGTCCCAAGCATGGTACATCCTATACCTAGCATAAGCTTCACAACAAGCCAGAGGTGGAGCTCAGGTGGTTACATGGGGTTTCCAGAGTCACTGAACTAATACAGGTGAGTTAACGGTCCAAACTCAGGCCTTTCAGACCCCACGGTCCAAGTTCACCCCATACAAGGTGATCCCCTATAATGAATCTTCCATCCTCACAATTATCATAACTAATATTCACTGAACATTATGTGCTAAGAACTTTATATGCATCCTCTCATTTGATCATCACCCTATGTTGTTCTTGTTTCCATTTTGCAGATAAAAAAAACCAAGGGTTAAAAAGGATAAGCAACTTGCCCACAGTCACACACAGAAGTCATCTGACTGCAGGGACCTTCCTAGTCATTCTGCTACACCTACCCAAGAAGCAAAGTGGGCCACACCCTCACGATTTCATGAGAGGTAGGATACTCTGAAGTTATGAGTTTCCATAAATTTGCAAATCCTGCTGACTTCCTGGGCAAGTGCTGGATGAATTTTGCTCCATGTAAGGGCAAAAATAATTAGAATTCTAAGCCCTACAACAGAGAATATTCAACACACAACAGAGCTCATAAGGACACAAGAAAACAATGGGTACAAACTACAGTTGAATGATTTTTTACAACGGAAAGAATGATACGATAGGAAGTGGCTAAGCTAAGCTCTTAGAAGTTTTGATTGAAATAAAAATTCTGTCTGTTTTTACCCTTCCTGTGCCACATGCTGAATTTCCCTCCCTCCTGGCTTTGGGAGATGAGGTCAGTGGATCTTGTTTCTGCATCAATGACTTTTCCACATGCAACCTGATAGCTTCTGGAAACAAACCAATAAATACAAGATCATTAGTGTATGTTATTTTAATTAAAGGAGGGTCCTGCGTGGAGGCGGAGGGGCAGTAAGCCTGCTAGCAGCCAACCCAAGTTCCAGGTGAGAATCTACCCACTGTGGTCTCCCAATCCCTTCTTTCAGTTCTGCCTAAAATCACAGCCCCTGACTAGGCCCAATTCTACTTTGAACTCACATCAAACTGGGTCAGCCCACCTAGAACCTCCCAGGTGACACTTTCCACATATACTCTGAGAAGTGAAAAGTTAATGCTTTAAAGCAGTAATCACTGCAAAAGCTAACAGAGAAGCTCAAAATGTAATAGGGCTTTAAAAAAGAAAGAGAAAAAAAAGAACAAAAGTCCAGACTGCCAAAAAAAAAAATTAATTGGCATTGTTGTAAAATTGTATTGCACGGCGAGAATACAAATATTATTCATGTTAAGGAAAGGGTTGACCTAAGATGTGATTTATAGGCACTTCAAATGCAGTACAGGAAGTAAATGGAAAAATTAGGGTGTGAGGTCACGGAGTAGGCAAGAGTCAACTTAAGGGTAAAGTTAAAAACTTTAAGAAGGGAGCACACAGTTCAGCTTGCCATATTAAATTAAGATGTGTCCTCACTTTGAAGAAATGGAAAAAGTCAAATATTAAGGTGGGTATGTTAGTAAAGGCGTTTTCTTATCAACATGCAAGAAAATAGGAATACTTGTTATAGGGATGAGAAATGCCAAAGGGATGTTTCATTAAAAAAACAGAGAGGAGAGTTGATGCAATCCATGAATCAACTGTGTTATCAGCCAGTAATGTGAACAAACAACAGTGACGAGTTAAAGGGCTTTAGAGGCATTGTCCTGAGCAAGAACAAGGAATCCAAACTGAATTTTGTTTCTGGGTATGTGTTGCTTCATCTTTTTATTAAAACAGTCTCAATTGGTTTGGACTGTTCCCAAGCTTACCGATGGCCAGGAAGAAGCGACTGAAGCAGAAAGCAAGGTTCAATTGTGGATATAAGGAACCTGGCTCCCTCAAGTCATCCTGTTCTCTGTTGTGTTTAAACCCAGTTTTCATTAAAAGTTGTCTACCCCCCCCCCCCCCCCCCGCTAATGTGAATGTTTCGCAAAGAACCACTAGAGGGCAGAGCTTTGTGATGTTTTGAAATTAATCATTGCTAAGTCAGCCCAGCTTCCAAAGGCTGAGACTGTGTTCCCCATGCCAAAGTCCACATAAAGAGAAACAGCCTAGATCTCTGAAGGGCGCTGGAATCCTCTTGGGTGAAAGAAACCAGGGCTGTGGCATCCAGGGCCACAATTACTGCCTGATACAGGGCAGCCTAGAATGGGGAGCTCTGTCCTGCAAGGGATCGAGAGAAGCCCAGGCTCAGAGACACTGAATCGCCCAGCAAGCCCCCTCGCTCACTGCGCGCTGCCACCTCCCCAACTTTACCCACCCCGTGTTCATTTTACACTAGTTTCATCTGCATATTAACATGGTGGGTGACAAAAGACAGGAAACCTGGAGCATCAACTTTGGGCCTAAGGCATCTGTCATGTGCAGCCCACACTAAGAACTCTCACTGTGGTCTTCTGGGCTGTTATCCTGGAGCAGCCAGAGTCGAAGTTGGAGGCAGCATCTCCAGGGTTGTTGTGGTGCACAGAAAATGGGACAAGAGAAATCTGCGTGGGCCACTGGGAATCACACCTGGCTGCCACCTTTGGCTCTCACAAAACCCAATCTCTCTGGCCTCCCAGAGCATTCTCAAGCTGAAAGATTAGGGAGTGTGCTCTTGGAACCAGGAGTGCTTTCACTGCTCCTGCCCCTGCCTGGGGACCTGAACATAAGGACTGTCACTGATTACCAGTCATCACCACCCAGCTCCACAGTAAGGGTCCTCAATAACCCAAGTCCTCCGGGTGTGTCTATCAGAGAGAAATCTGATCTCAGCCAAGGGTGTGGGAAAGGGCAGCGGAATTTTCTCTTTTCTGGCAAACTTGGAGTTACAGTCCTAGGTGAGGTATACTTACAACTTTCATCCAGGCAGCCTCTGATCAACTGCTCTAAGCCTCAATTTCCTAACCTGTTAAAAGGTAAGAATAGAACCCTCCCCTCTCTCACCTGGTGGTATTGTTGTCAAAGTGAATGAGATGATGTGCATAAATACTAGCATAGGGGCCGGGTGTGGAGGCTCACGCCTGTAATTTTGACACTCTGGGTGACCGAGGCTGGAGGATAGCTTGAGCTCAGGAGTTCCAGACCAGCCTGAGCAAGAGACCCCATCTCTACTAAAAATTAGCTGGGCCTGGTGATGCACGCCTGTAGCCCCAGCTACTCAGGAGGCTAAGGCAAGAAGATCACTGAGCCCAGGGGTTTGAGGTTGCAGTGAGCTATGATGACACCAGTGCACTCTAGCCAGCATGACAGAGGAGATAGATTCTGTCTCAAAAAAAAATAATAATAATAATTTAGCATACAGGCTGGCATGAATAGTAATTATCATTGTTTTTAATATTATTAATATCAATGTATAGTTTGGTCAATTCAGGGCCTCTCTCCCTGCTGCTATTCAGCTATGACGACATGTTCACAATGAAACTCAAGCATGGCATGGCACAGCAGGACAAGCACAGGCAGAGAGACAGGAGCTTACCAGCTGTGTAAGTCACTTGTGTTAGGAAAGTTCCTTAACCTCTCTGGGCCTCAGTTTCTATAATATGAAGGAAATAAGAGTACCTCTAGGACTGGTGTGAACAGTAAAGATAAAATTGAGTGTTTGCATAAGGGCTTAACATAATATATATAGTAATTATTCCCTTTATGAAAGCAGGTACTTGGAGAACTTGTTCGTCTTAGAGGACAGATACTCCTGAGGAAAGAGCGTAGTGTTTAAACTAAATTAGGGCTCTGGGATTACCAGTGTATTTGTTTAAGTAATTCAGGCAGGCTCTTTTTATTATTATTATTCTTTTTTTTATTCTTTTTTCTTACTCTCTTGCCTAGGCTAGAGTGCCGTGGTGTCAGCCTAGCTCACAGCAACCTCAAACTCCTGGGCTCAAATGATCCTCCTGCCTCAGCCTCCCAAGTAGTTGGGACTACAGGCATGCGCCACCATGCCTGGCTAATTTTTTTCTATTTTTAATTGTTTGGCTAATTTCTTTCTATTTATAGTAGAGATGGGGTCTCACTCTTGCTCAGGCTGGTCTCGAACTCCTGAGCTCAAGCAATCCTCCCGCCTTAGCCTCCCAGAGTGCTAGGATTATAGGCATGAGTCACTGCGCCCAGCCCAGGTGGGCTCTTTCTAGCCACTATTACCCAGCTCCCAATGCATACACACATACACACCCACACACAAAGAAAGAAAGAAAATTCTCAGAGCTTTTCATCACAGTAGAATAAGCCTTGAAATCCATTCAACCCTGGCTCTGACGTTCGCTACGTATGTGACCCCAGGCAAATCAGTGGAACTATAGAAAACCTACCTCAGTGGGGAGGTTGTGAAGATCATATGAGAAAATACATATAGAAAATGACTTAAAAATTCAAAAGTACAATTATCAGAATCCTTCTCCTACCACAGACACAAAAGCAGCCCCCATTGAAAGGACATAACATAGGGTGTTTCCTTAAGCGACACAGCCTGGTGAGGCGACTGAAATAAACATTTTTAAAGCTAATCTAGGTTACCCATCAGAGTCTAACTGCAATCTGAGTCTAATGACCAATGATCAGTTTATGCCAGAGCTCCAAATTACACACCATTTTCCCCTTCACAGTCTCCAACAGGCATTCGCACAAATCTAGTCTATCCCTGGGGTTTTTTTGTTTTTGTTTTTGTTTTATTTTTGTTTTAGGCCAAGTTCTCCACTGGGGTCTGCCAAGATAGAAAAAGCTCTGGCAGCTCTGTCTATAATGATTACTGATAACAGGATCATTTCTTGGGGCTGAGAAGCTCACCTGATAGAGGGGACATTAGGTCACCTGATGGCAGGGAAAGTGGAGGAGTCTATTGCCCATGTTGCTAGAACTGGATAAACAAACCATCAGCACGCAGATCCAATGCCTAAAGTAGAGCAAAGAGGGTCTCCAGAAAGAGCCCTCGGTAGGACTAGGTTTATTTAAAAATTCCTCCCAGGGCCATCCTTATAATAACCCAGGCAGTGGTTTCTGTAAAAGCTGGATTAGATCCTCCCGCCCTGCCTTTTAGAAGTTTCCACAACAGATGGGGGAACACAGCTTTAGAGGAAAGCGAGGCTCACATCCGTCTGCGTTCATTATTGGCCCCGTTCTCCGAAATGCTATATGTTATCTTGAGCCTGTTTGTTTTCATCTGTCAGAGTGGTTTATTGTTAGGGAAATACGGTGTCAGCTGTCTCTTCCCCACCATCAAAGCCACTTCATTAAAGTTAATAGTGTTTGACTTGCAGAGATCTCTTACCGAGGTAACCCAAGAAAGCCCCCGCTGGCTGTTATTTTTCCGGCAGTAAAGGCACCAAATGGATGCAATAACTGCATTAATCTTTTGGGAAGAAGAGACAAAAAAAAACCCAGTGTATGACTCTATCTAGTAGGTGCTCAATAAATACACCTTGAATTCATGAGGCCAAACAATCCTACCCTCCTGTTTGGGATAGGGTGTGGAACTAAATGACTGGGGTCTTGACCCCTGCCACTTACGGGTCTGTGGCCTGTGGCTTGTCATTTCTCCAGTCTGAACTTCAGTGTACTTATTTATCTCAGAAATAAGGGGGATGGATTATGAGGAAGGCTTTTTTGTCCAAAAGTAATCTCACAATGAAGCCTCATATATAAAAGCAGGTAAAAAAGCAAACTTATTTCTGGATAAAGTGAAGTAGAACAGAAATTCCATCCCCGCCGCATCTCTGCCTTCTTCCCTACTCCCCCCACCCAAACCCTATTCTTATCGCTCCCCCAGGGGGCCCTGAGCAACCTCTGGGGGCTGTTATACCCACCCTGGACTTTCTAGAATAGCAT